TATTTTATTTTTTATTTTTTTTAATTTCCGCAGCTTTTACTTTCTGACTGCCTATCACATTTCTTGAGGCGTTAAATGCCAGGGCAGTACAAAATTCCCCCAAATTACCCCTTTTTTGGAAAGTAGATTACCCCAAGGAATTTGCTGAGAGGCATGTGGAGTCCATGGAACATTTTTATTTTTTTGCCACACATTTTTGGAAAATGACAAACATTGTCAGTTAAATGATATATTGCTCCTGCATGCCATAGTTATATGTGGAATAATACCTGAAAATACATTCTGCTACTTCCGAAAATCCAATGATCACTTTCAGGCTTTCAAAGGGCATATTTCCTCATATCACTTCCTGACTACGTATCACAGTTTCAGAGGCCCTAAAATGCCAGAATAGTACAAACCCCCCCCCCCCCAAATGACCCCTTTTTGGAAAGTAGACACCCCAAGCAATTTGAAAAGAGGTATGATGAGTATTTTTTTTCAGGTATCATTCTTGTCACAGGGTTTTAAAGAAGAATAAAAGAAAAAATACAATTTTGTGGCAACAAATGAGATGTGCAAAACACTCTCCATGCCCCTTAGCCAATACCTTGGAGTGTCTACTTTCCAAAAAGGGGTCATTTGTGGGGGGTGCTTCTACTATCGTGGAATTTCAGGGCCAACATTAGAATCTTATGCCACACATCACCCACTTTTTTAACCACTTGAAGACCAAGCCAATTCTGACATGTGAAAAAACAGTTTTTTTTTGCTAGAAGATTACGTTGAACCCTCAAACAGTATATATTTTTTTAAAGCAGAGGTCCTAGAGAATAAAATGGTGGATGTTGAAATGTTTTATGTCACACAGTATTTGTGCAGTGATTTTTCAAACACAATTGTTTTGGAAAAAAATATACTTTTTAGAATTTTAATGCACCAAAACACAATATATTGTCCAACTGTTTGATAAAATATAAAAGATGATGTTATGCTGAGTAAATGGATACTAAACATGACATGCTTTAAAATTGCGCACAGATGGAAGGGCCCTGGCCGGGGGTCAGGGGGGCCCTTCATGGTTTCTTGCACGAGGGTCCTGAACAGGGGCACACTGACCATTTGAGCACTCGGGCACTGCCTGAGGGCCCGGGGTCAGTAGGGGGCCCCATGAAAGCCCCCTGGTACCTTTTTTATAGGCTTTTTTTGGGTGTGCTTTGAATGTGGGCAAGGAAACAGGGGCCCTATGATCCCCTATTGCCCGGGGACCCCATGAATTGTCAGTCCGCCCCTGGTCCTAAAGGTTCTAGTTATGCCACTGAATCAGAGAAATGCAAAATAACACCCACCCCCAGCCATTTATGACTACATTTAACTCTAAGGACCATTTCACACTGCTGCTCTGTGGTTTTGCTCCAATGTGGGTGTGCCTGTGGTTTTTGAGAGGGCTACTCATGGTTTTCATAGACTTTCTATTATGTCCCGTGTTTTTGGCACATTTACAAAAAGTCCTGCATTCTGCATCTTTGGTGCACTGTAAGAAAATATGCCAAAAATGCAAGACATAATAGAAAGTCTTTGGGAAACCACAAGTAATGCGCATGAAAACCATGGGTGGAGCGGACAAACTGCAGAGCAGCGGTATGAAACCACTCTCATGGGCAAAAGGTTATTTGCTGAGAGCACTAGATGGTCAGATTACTTCCCTACATAAAAAAAAAAGATATACCAGGCTTAGTAACTATAACATTGGATAATTGCTCATTGCGTGAATTTTATCCAAAGCAATCACTGAATTTGCCATTCATAACCTTGGTGGTAGGACATTTGACAGCTTAACCACTGCCACCAAAAAGTTTCCTTACCTAGACTGAGAATTTGCTGTCCCTCATTAGCAACTGATGTCCTTTGTAAAGTCATTTGGATAAAAATTTAAAGTGTATGTAAAGCCATTTGTTTAGTGGTGAATAGAGTAGGAGCCCGTATTAAAATCTTCTGTAGCCTATGGTAGCTCTGTCCCGAGTTATCATAGGGCTAGAGCAGCTGTTGGGACCAATGCCCCATTGTGCCTTAGCATAGAGTGCCATCCTGTTCTTTCGGGCCACACATGCACAGTGTGTACTCTCTCCTGTCACCTAAGAGGAGCTCAGTGATTTCAACAGGAGAGAGTACACACTCTGCATGTATAACCAGAAGGAACATGACAGCACTCCCTCCCATGGCACTAAGAAATTCTGGTCCCATAGACTGCTCCTTCCCTAAAAATAACTAAGGCTTGAACCATCACAGGCTGTAGACCATGGGCATCATACTCAATTTCATCATGGGCCTGCCTTAGCATTATGGTTACCCTCAAAGGGCCGATTGTTTCTGTAAGACTAGACGTCCAGAACACCCCACTCCCCTTTACATCAGATGTCAAGATCCCCCCACCATCAGAAGTCAAGAGCCCCCTACAATCCCTTACATCACAGTGTACTCCCCTTACCTTGGGCTGTTGCTAAAAAGAAGCTGGGGGTGGACCTGTGAAGCAGAAGGTGCAGGGTCTGGAGTAGGACCAGAGGAGGGCTGGAGTCAGCTGCTGGAGTCTGCTGAATGCTAGTACCAGGGGAGGTGGAGACAAGGGGGTGTCGTGGCTGAACAGAGATGCGCAGGATCTGTTTTGTCCTCCTCTCTGCTGTGGACTGCAGAGACAAGGTGGAGGTGGAGACAAGGGGGGTGCTGCAGCTGCAGGAGAGGTGTAAGGGCCACATGAAATGATCCACGGGTCTTGTGTTTGACACGTGTTGTAGAAGATTTAAAAAGGCTACATTCTTCGAACTGAAATGGAGCCCTGATTGGAAGGTAGGTTTTGCACACTATGCTGCTATACCAATATGGGACAACATAGTTGGATTTTTGGTACAAGTGAACTAATCCTTTTAGCACTTGCACTGATTCATTACAAACATAATTCCATGCAGTTTACATCTGTCTGTAAAAGACCCCTGGCATCTGTCTGCTTTACCTATTAATGAGACGTGTACATCACAGAGGAGAACAAGCAGCTCTCAAAGTTCTTTCAGTCTTGTAGCGGCTTCAGGTTCTGGAATAAACAGATACTTGCATTCCTACCGTTCACATAACAGAATACCAATTATGAACACTACTTCTCAGCAAAATTAAGAAAAAAAGTACCGGCCTCCAAATACAAGTGTATAATGACAGGGGAGAATTTACAGGGCCGTAACTGTGATCATTAAGTACTTTGGCTGTTTGCTTACAAACATAATTGGTAATCGTTGGTAATTCAGAAGCTGTGTCTGCGGCCTGCAGCAGAGGGCCCTTAACTCGTTAGAAAACACATGAAGCTTTTCAAAAATTTTGCTGACTCCTTTCATATTGTTGTTTTAGAAGTCATCAGACGACAAAGCCTTTTTCTTCTTTTTTCTTTAAGGTGTCCTTTAGTATACATGTAAAAAAGATAGCAAGTTATAGGTCCTGTTGATAATATCTTGGGTGGCTCCAATCGGGGTGCACTATTTAAAATTGCTGTCTTTTTCAAAGCTGTAGATCCACTTTTTTTGTTATTATAATTATGATTTTGATTGTTATTTCTAAGCAACTTTGTAGAGTACAATGAATCACAAGTCAAGTGTTAGCTAAACAATCTTAACTTTCTGGATAATTAGTTTGGGAATTGAGTGCCCCTGCTCATGAAAATAAACTGGTGGGATTTCACTGTGTTTGGCTTTAACTAGATATTTCTTTTAGTAATTTTCAATAAATAATATCTTACAATTACAAATGGTGAAAAAAAAGCTTCTTTAAAAGGGTACACACCAGTGAGGAAGGAATTAATGATTTTAGTTTCTGGAGGTGTCCTTTAGCTTGTGCCTGACTGCTGGTGAGTGTTCTAGAGATGTTCTTTGGCCTATGGCTGATTGGTAGTGAGTGTTCTGTAGGTGTTATGGAGGTGACTGCCTGGAGATGTCCTGTGGCCTGTATCCGATTGCTTGTGAACTTTATAGAGGTGTTCTTTTAACCTGTGTCTGATTGGTGATGAGTGTTCTAGAAGTGGTGTTCTCTAGATGTCATTTAGCTTGTGTCTGATAGGTAGTGATGCTCCGGAGATGTTCCCTAGCTTGTGTCTTGTAAGTGGTAAGTGTTCTGGAGGTGTGCTTTAGCATATGCCTAATTGGTGGTGAGTGTTCTGGAGATATTCTTTGTCTGTGGCTGACTGGTGGTGAGTGTTCTAGAGGTGATGTTCTGGACATGTTCTTTGGCCTGTGGCTGACTGGTGGTGAGTGTTCTAGAGGTGATGTTCTGGACATGTTCTTTGGCCTGTGGCTGACTGGTGGTGAGTGTCCTAGAGGTGATGTTCTGGAGATATTCTTTGGCCTGTGGCTGACTGGTGGTGAGTGTTCTACAGGTGATGTTCTGGACATGTTCTTTGGCCTATGGCTGACTGGTGGTGAGTGTTCTGGAGATGGTATTCTGGACATGTTCCTTAACCTGTGCTGGTTTTTTGGGAAGTTTTCTGGAGATGTTCTTTGAGCTATGGCTGATTGTTATAAATATTTTTTTAAATTTGGTTGTGCCTTCCCTAGATAAGTGATATCTAAATATGTGCACTAGTAAACATTTGACCTAATATCTAGCTATAAGTAAGAACCAATATCAAATAACAATATTACAAACACAAGCCTCCACGTGTTACTCAGTCCTGATTAATAATATGCAAACATCTGTATACATAATCCCATAAATGTAAATGACAGTGATCTTCTGTGACATCTTCCCCACTCCGTGTTCATAAATATGAAGTGACTCCCACCACTATTCAATATTGTGCTCACCGTTAGCTTTGACCTGCAATCAGATAGGTCAGGTGAGCTTTCCCCAGCCTAGGGTAGGTCTCATGTCTTGTTCCTCCAATGCAGGTATTCTCCCAATCATCTACAATGACACCCATTTGCTGGGTGTATGGCCCTTTAAGACCGCAATGTCCATTCTGCAACCAATCTCAGCAAGAGAAGGGGTGCCCTAATAGTGTAGTAATTTCTTTAAACACTCTAACCGCGCGTGTGTGGCTCCAGGGGCGCGCAGTGTGGCGATCGGTGGTGCGCTGTGTCCCTCGGACACAGCTGATCACCGATCAACAGAAGGAGCCAAATACATTGGCTCGGTCATGTGCCATATATGAGTGCTGCCTTTCAGTGTCCATCAGTGATGCCTGTCAATGCCCATCAGTGCCTCCTCATCAGTGCAGCCTATCAGTGCCCATCACTGCAGCCTCATTAGCGCACATCAGTGAAGGAGAAAAATCACATATTTACAAAATTTTTAAACAAAAACTAAGAAAAAAACTTTTTTTTTCAAAATTTTCAGTTGTTTTTGGTTTGTTTAGCAAAAAAGAAAAAACCCAGAGGTGATTAAATACCACCAAAAGAAAACTCTGTCTCAAAAAAATGATAAAAATTTCATATGAGTACAGTGTTGCATGACCACGCAATTGTCATTCAAAGTTTGACAGCACTGAAAGCTGAAAATTGGCCTGGGCAGGAAGGGAGTATAAGTGCCTGGTAGGTAAGTGGTTAAAGCAATCCACTGGGCTGGCCAGATCCAACTCTTGAGGGAGTCTATTCCACATTTTCACAGCTCTCACTGTGAAGAAACCTTTCTCTGTCTGGAGATTAAATGTCTTTTCCTCCAGATGTAAAGAATGCCCCCTTGTCCTCTGTGATGACCTCAGGATGAATAACTCTACACCGAGTTCACTATATGAACCACTGATGTATTTATACATGTTGATCATATCCCCCCTTATGTATTATACATGGTGATCATATCCCCCCTTATGTATTATACATGGAGATCATATCCCCCTTATGTATTATACATGGAGATCATATCCCCCCTTATGTATTATACATGGAGATCATATCCCCCTTATGTATTATACATGGTGATCATATCCCCCCTTATGTATTATACATGGTGATCATATCCCCCCTTATGTATTATACATGGTGATCATATCCCCCCTTATGTATTATACATGGAGATCATATCCCCCCTTATGTATTATACATGGTGATCATATCCCCCCTTATGTATTATACATGGTGATCATATCCCCCCTTAATCTGCTCTTCTCAAGAGAGAATAAATTCAGTTCCTCTAATCTTTCCTCATAGCTGATCTCCTCCATGCCTCTTACCCATGCCACATGACCATGTAATCCTACGGAACTTTTCACACTGATCAGCTCTGGAATCACAGCGTTTTGTAAAATCCTGCTTTCTGTCTTTTTGGTTCATGTTTGGTGTGGTAAAAAAAGCACCAAAAACACACCTCCCCATTGAAGTGAATGGAAACCGCATCAAAAACGTGTCACGTTTCCTTTCACATGTGCAAAACACATTTGAAATGCGGTAAAAATGCATATGCGTTTTTACAAGGGAACAGTGTGAAAGTAGCTTTACGCCCCTTTCACACGGGCGGTCTGTTTTTTTTTCATCAGTTCAGTCACTTTTTTCCATTTTTCATTTTTACATCCGCTTTCATCAATCGTACATCTGTTTTTCATGTGTGTACATCTTTACATTCATTTTTCATCATTTTCATCTGTTTTTTGTCATTTTACATCCTTTTTCATCTGTTTTTTGGTCCATTTACATATGTTTACATCCAGTTTTGTCCGTTTACATACATTTTCATCTGTTAACATCTGTTTTTTCATCCATCTACATACATTTTCATCAGTTTTTTTGTCCATTACATCCATTTTTCGATGGTTCCATCTTTTTAAACAGAAGAAAAATAGTGTTTTCTTCCGTTCAAAAAAACTGATGTTAACAGATGCAGACATTAACGGATGTAAACAGATGATCATCAGTTTACATCTGCTAGTCCATAGAAATACATGGGTGTCCGTCTTTCTTCCTTAAACGGACAGATGAAAAACAGACATACAGAAAGCCCCTGTGGAAGGGGTCTAATTCAGCTTGAACCTGTAGGAGCAGGGCCATCTTTAACTCGGGGCAAAAGGGGCAGCTGCACAGGGTCCAATCATTGTTGTGGGGCCCAAAGCAGCTGCCCCCTGAGCTCACGCTGCCTGCCAGGGGTTTTTTTCAGCCTTAATTCTGCCACCTCCAGCACTGCTCACTTCTGTCACTTGTAAATACAGAAACACTGCTTCTATATTTACAAGTGACAGCGCTCCTCTCCTGGTGATCGCTCACAACCCTCCCTGATCTACACATTGATCTCTATAGGAGAGCAGAGGAGGGAGGGGGTGGGGAATCTACCCAGGCAGAAGCTCCTCCTCACCGGCAGCCTGCACAGACACGCTGTAAGTATTCCTCTGCCTGTGTGTGTGTCTGTGGGTGTATGTGTGTATGTGTGTATGTGTGTGTATCTGAGTGTGTGTGTTTCTGTGTGTATGTCTGTCTATCTGAGTGCGTGTATATGTGTGTCTCTGAGTGTGTGCGTTTCTGAGAGTGTGCGTGTATGTTTATGTGTGTATGTACAGTATGTGTGTCTGTGTGCGTGTATGTGTGTTTCTGTGGGGGGGGGGTGTCTGTATGTGTGTGTGGATAGATGCGTGTGTCTGTTTTTTTAGTGGGTGAGCTCTGAAATGAAATATGTTAGGAAGAAAGCTTTGTACCTGTGCGGAGAACTTGGATGTACACAGTACACCCCTCAACCCTGCACTCCGTACACAGCGCACCCCTCAACCCTGCACTCCGTACACAGCGCGCACCCTCAACCCTGTACTCCATACACAGCGCACCTCTCAACCCTGCACTCCATTTTTCTGCATCCATCAACCCTGCACTCCATACACAGCGCACCCAACCCTCAACCCTGCACTCCATACACTGCATCCCTCAACCCTGCACTCCATACACTGCATCCCTCAACACTGCACTCCATACACACGCACCCCTCAACCCTGCACTCCATACACAGCGCACCCCTCAGCCCTGCACTCCATACACAGCGCACCCCCTGCAATCCTGCATTGCATACATAGCGCACCCCTCAACCGTGCACACATAGCACACCCCCCTCAATCTGGCACTACATGTACAGTGTAACACTGAACTCTGTACACAGCACACCCCTCAACCCTGCACTTTGTACAAAGTGAACCCCTCAACCCTGCAGTCTGTATGTAGTGCCCTTTTCAACCCTGCACTCTTTAAATACCCTGGCAGCCCATGCTCAGAGATGCTGCTCACATTGGGCTTTGTTCCTACCTGCACACAGTCAACCTTCATAGTTGCGTGTTCTCTGCTATGCTCATTGCTAATAAGGTCTAGAATTTTCTGTCTATTGGTGGGTCTAGTCCCCTCCGCAGTCTGTGGTATGCAGGAAGGGAGGAGATTGTGTGCTGTTACCTCTAGCAACCAATCAGTGAGCTGTAATGATGTGCAGTAACCTCTAGCAACCAATTAGTGAGCAGTAATAATGTGCAGTAACCTCTAGCAACCAATCTTCGAGTGGCAATGATGTGCAGTAACCTCTAAGAACCAATGGGCTAGTGGTAAAGATGTGCAGTACCCTCTAGCAAATAATCAGCGAGCAGTAATGATGTGCAGTAACATCTAACAACCAATCGACAAGCAAACATGATGTGTTGTAAGCTCTAGCAACTGATCAGTGAGTCGTAATGCGTACTGTAACCTCTATGAACCAGTCAGTGAGCAGTAACGATATGCTGCAACCTCTGGCAACCAATTGCTGCCTGTTCTGCTGCAGTAAAAACTGATTTTGAGTCTAGCTGCTATTTATTGTATGTTTTAGAGTTGGGGGCTGGTGGCTAGGGAGGCACAAAAAAAATGTTTGCCAGGGTCCAATCAATTTTAAAGACGGCCCTGTGTAGGAATACAGATAAAATGTGATAAAACCGGTCCAGTGTGAACCTGGGGAAGTACAGAGGCAAAGGGATACAATAATCTAGTGTAGGCATGGAGGATTATTGAGACCAGAGGACTTGTGGATCCATAGGGAATCTGTAAGTACAGGAATAAGTGGATAACCTATTCAGTGTAACACTGATACACTGTCCACCTGGAATGTACAAAGCCAAGAGTGAATCTGGGCAAGACCGGAGGCAAAAGATACACTGATTGAGCCCGTGTTCACAGTTGTGCGATGTGGGACACCGCATGTGGTTCACACAGGTATCGCACCACATTCATGTGAAAATAACATGCGATGTCTGTGCCGTGCGATTCATTTTTTATGCCTCAAATCGCATTGCATCTGCAACAAAATGGTGCAGGACCCCTTTTTTTTTTTGCCGCACCTGAATTGCATTGCATAGGTGTTCACATCCATGTGATGCGATTCAGGCAATCGCACAGCATTTTGCAAACTGTTTTGGGGTGTCGTTATTTTAACATTGACACCCACGGCAAAACGAATGAATGCTGTGTGGTGCGGGAAATGCACAGGCTTCGCTGTGGTGCGGGCAGCACAGTGGCTAAATGGTTAACACTTCCACCTGGCAGCACTAGGGTCGTTGGTTCAAATCCCAACCACAGGACCACCTGCCTGGAGTTTGCATGTTCTCCCTCTGCCTGTGTGGGTTTCCTCCGGGTACTCCGGTTCCCTCCCACACTCCAAAGACATGCTTTTTTTTTTTTAAGTCCGCAAACGTGCAAACTAGAACGAAAAACCCGTAAGTGTTTCACAAAAAAGTGCAAGTGCAAAAACACCACACAAAAAGTGCACTTAGGGGTGTGCTTTGTCCTACCCCCGAAGGGGTTGGACCACTACCCTGATCCCCCGGGGCACGAAGCTCCTGACAGGGACAAGGTTCCCATTTGGTCCTCCTGGCCAAAAGGCCTGGTGGACCACCGTTCCTTATGCCCAGCCGAAGCCGGACATCCAGTACTAGGCCAGGGGGTTCTCCCGAAGAGAAAACCCCCTAGGGACAGGGGAGGAAGGAACCAAAAGGCCACACATCCTCCCCCTAGACTTCAGGGCAGGCTCGAGGACCCACACCCTCCATCCTGTGAGAAAAACACACATATAAGTAAAAGTGACAAACGTGGGGTGAGAAAAATAAATAAATAAATAAATCTATAAAAATAATAAAAAAGTGGTCGTGCCCAAATTGTGCACTGACCAGGCCCTGAGGCCTGTAGCAAAAAAATTGCCCAGGACTTGGCCAAAAGGCCCGGTCCTAGAGGCGCAGTGCAAAAAGTGTTTTAAACGCGGTGACCATGTGCTCATTCACAACGTGGGGTCCCACACCCAAGTGCTACTCAGAGCACCCCTGAGGCGACTACTCAGGGGGCACCGTGTTTGCAGACTTTCTGCCTCCTCAGCT